AGCATAACTGGAGAGATCAATATATTATAAATACAAAGATAACACTATGATAAATGAAAAGATAATTCTATCATAAGTGAGTAAGAAAAATATATATAGTGCTATAATCATCTTTTGTGTTCTCTTCTTTCAGGACATGAATGATCATCACTCTCCACAATTTCCTGTCACTTGAAGCTCTAAACAACATTTGAATCCACTATCTGCACTTTTTACCCACTCTCACATCACAAATTTACACAAATTCCTTAGATAGGTTACTTGATGTTTCTCTCTTTTGTCTTTTGTTTTCAAAATGTCCTGTGAGTGTTAAATTTTCAAAGCCTGCCTTTCCCCTTATGTCTCCAGAAATTTCAACTTTCTAATTCTAAGTTTGTTTTTCTTGTTGTTTCTATTTTTTTGAAGACTTCATCATTACGTACAGGTTTTGCCTATGTTATTCTCAACATCTTTCTGTAGAACCACATCTCTGCCAGTTTGAGTCTCAGCATCTGTGAGGAAACTGTCTAGCATTCACTGTCACATAAGGGAGTACTTTGCTTGGTTTTTGGAAGGTATCTTTCACTATTCCAAAATCTCTTCAGATTTCTGCATCATATTTGCCATCATCTGTTACTTCAATAACCAGATAATTAAATTTATGTACTTGATTCTGATATCATGAATTTTTAGTTCACAGCTTGGGCTGCCTCACTTACATACATTTTGTCCACTCAAGATTAATGATTAGTCCTTTCTTCTCACTTTTCATTGCTAAGAGTTCTTGCAGTTTTCATTCAATACAGTGTCATCCACCTATTAGGATTTATCATCAATAACTATAATTTTATAAGGTTATTGATAATAAATCCTGATAGGCCTTCAAGTTCTCTTAATATCATCAAATTGTTTAAGTTAAATAAATCTAGTGAGAAAATACATCTTTACTAATCTGTTTTTTGTGTTATTGTACATCTTCATGAAATCAGGTTGTTCCCAGTAACTGTCCTGGATTATTTTATTATTATAATATCTTTCTCATATAAAAGTTGAAATTTCTGGGGACATAAGAGGAAAAGCAGGCTTGGAAAATTTATCACCCACAGGATATATTGAAGCCAAAAGGATCAGAGATAAACATCAAGTAACCTACTGAATTAAGTTTTCCTATCACTTCAAATAGGTCTTTGTCTTTTACGTTATCAAATACTTTCATTTAATCTATGGAAAATGGATATAAGATTTTCTGCATTTTCTGATCATAAGAATAGCATTTCCTGTTTCAGTGTCTTTAACAAAGCTACCCTGTCCTCTACCTATTTCTAGCCTAATTCTGCTTTGTGTTCTAATCATTAGAATCCTAATGATCTGCAGAGTTACATGGTTCCTTAAGGTGATTGATTTTCTAATGGAATTCACATTCATTTGTACCTGGATTCTTTGACATTATTATGAAGATAGATTTACTGGTATTTTGCCACTGTCATATATTATATTATTACAAAAATCTATTGATCTCAAAGTCATCTAAGGCTGACAGTATCTCAATGACAATCCTATCTAGTCCTGCAGCTTTATTTCTGTTCATCTTTTTCTTGCCATCAACATCATTATTAATATTAACATTACCAATATCATATTTTAAACTGTCAATATGTTTTTTTCTTTGCTTCCAAGATTGTAAAAACTAAGATTTTATCATTGAAGTTGATGTTTTCATAATAGAATTACCATTAACCAATCCATGTTGGTAAAAGTTTCAGGATATATTTATAGAAGCAATATTTTGTTCAGCTTATATCTAAATAAATTATTTTGAAGAAAGAAGTTTTTAATATTCAACTCATATTGAGAATAAATATGCATTAATCATACTGATTTTTATTTTTATTTTCAGGTGTATAAAAATGTAATGAATCATAAGAAAGATATCAGCTCAATATGGAAACATAATTATTGTAAAGTTACTGCACAAAGGGAACACAATTTTGTAAACTTCCTGTGCAAAGGGAACACAATTTTGTAAAGTTACTGCAGAAAGGGAAAACAATTTTGTAAAGTTACTGCACAAAGGGAACACAATTTTGTAAAGTTACTGCACAAAAGGAACACAATTTTGTAAAGTTACTGCACAAAGGGAACACAATTTTGTAAAGTTACTGCACAAAGGGAACACAATTTTGTAAAGTTACTGCACAAAAGGAACACAATTTTGTAAAGTTAACATGCAAAAAAGGAACACAATTTTGTAAAGTTAACATGCAAAAAGAAAACAATTATGTAAACTTCCTGTGCAAAGGGAACACAATTTTGTAAAGTTACTGCACAAAGGGAACACAATTTTGTAAAGTTACTGTGCAAAGGGAACACAATTTTGTAAAGTTAAGCACAAAGGGAACACAATTTTGTTATGTTACTGCACAAAAGGAACACAATTTTGTAAAGTTACTGCGCAAAGGGAACACAATTTTGTAAAGTTACTGCACAAAGGGTACACAATTTTATAAAGTTACTGTGGAAAGGGAACACAATTTTGTAAACTTCCTGTGCAAAGGGAACACAATTTTTTAAACTTCCTGCACAAAGGGAACACAATATTGTAAAGTTACTGTGCAAAGGGAACACAATTTCGTAAATTTACTGTGCAAAGGGAACACAATTTCGTAAATTTACTGTGCAAAGGGAAACAATTTTGTAAAGTTACTGTGGAAAGGAAACACAATTTTGCAAAGCTTGAAAAAGTTGAACTGTGATCAGAGAACAACTGAAAACACTGGCAAGATAGGAACAAGCAAAACTGGCTTTAAGAAAGTCACAAAAAAGATTTGAAAAAATAAGATAAAGTATTTAAGCAAGAAAACTGAACTGACCAGCAAGAAATTAGTTGAAGCTAGTGTTATGAATGTAAACAGAGAGAAGATATTAAGAACAGGGCCTCAAGACATGGAAATAACTAAACTATCACCGTTAAGTAATCATCAGTCAGAAATATTAAGGTTGAGTAAAGAATTATGTGAAAACATACTTTCTCACCAGTATTATTGGTGATGAATGCAAATGTAAATGAGATGAACTGAATGGCTGGGCTTGAAGTTGGGTCCCACATGGAAATAGTAAAAAATGTAGGACTTTAAAATCAATAGGAAGATGATGGAGTAATGTTTTAGGAACCAAGTTCTTTCAAAGTTGCTGATAGTATCAAAATAAATGCAAAGACTTATTTGACTTTCATGGACAAGTTCTTTGAGTGGTATAGGTTCCAGCCAAGAAGCTCTAAGCTAAAGAGTAAATTCATAGAAGAAAACTTTACAATGCCTACTATTGCCCACCTTACCCCAAAACATTTCAAAGACACTAAATTACTGGAATTGCTCCCATCTTCTCTCAATATTAATCCAATTGAAAACTCATAGTTCACCATTAAAATCAATGTATATGAAAATGGAAAACATTATTCAAGCAAAGATCTCTGTGGAGCAATAAAAATTGTTGCAAATAATGTTAAAGTCAAGACAGTAGAAAATCTAGCAAAATCAATGAGTAAAAGAGGGATGAACATTTTATGATGTTAAATAGCCCATATTAACAAGTCAAACAATATATATATATATATATATATATATATATATATATATATATATATATATATAAAGATATTCCTTTTGTTGTTTGAATTATTTTTTTTATTCTTTACTATGCTTCTTCGTTCTGTTATCCATTCATACAAACTCAGTAAGCAAATTATTGTTTCCAAATGTTTCTCTTGCCTTCATTATATCTCATGTATTAAATTCTCTAGCTTTTTCTTTCTTCATTATGTATCCCAGAAATTTTGAATGTTTCTTTCTGATAGTAAATTTTCTTATTGTTTTTATTTACCTTAAGATTTCTTTATTACTCACATACTCTGTCTATAATATTCTATGCATTTGTTGACAGAACCATATCTCTATACCTTCAAGTCTCTTCATCTGCTTGAAAGCTGTCCATCTATCACTGCCACATAGGAGATTAGATATTGCATAGCAGTTCAGCACTCTTTTTCATGGTGTCCAATGATATTTTCTTGTTCTTTTGCTCAGTTTCTTGAAGGCACCTTTTGCTCATTCAATGCACCCTCGGATTTCTGTGATAGATTTTTCCATTGTCTGTAACTACAATAATCAGTTTCTGTACTTTCTTGATTTTAATACCTGCAAAATTTAGTTCACAATGTTCTCTATTCAGCTAAAAACTAGCAATTGACAAGGCAAAAGTATTACAAAGGCTGTTGATAAGTCTATCATTTTGTTTCTTTTTACCATATCTGCAAGAACATTACCTTCTTGAAAAATAATCCCTTCATTGTGATTTCCACATCACTTATCCAGACTTGGAAGCAACACTTTTTATATATTTTGGTACTCCTTAATATTAACAGAATTTCTTTTACTCATCCAGCTCACCCTCCTTACCATAATTCCACCTCCTCTATGTTTCAGCCATTCTGAATTGAGCCTTTCCCCTCACATTTGAAAACAGTGTTCTGGAGTATTGGGAAACAGCTGAAAATGTGGCTCAGATCCCTTCATAGAATATTGTTCACTGTACCGAGTATCATGTTGGTTACAACAGGGGTCGGTAACCTTTTGCTACCTATGTGTCGACTTACGGTTTTAAAATTATTCAGTGTGCCAACAGCATACGTATTTTTAATACAAGTCAAGATCAATATACCAGTTCTGCAATATATTTTATATAGTAATATACAGCATATATACTTTAGTATATATTAAAATTGAAACAGCTAAATATTTTCTTTGTGTTGTAGTAGTTATTGGTTTGGACTTTGTGAGGTCATTTGTGGATACGTGCCATTGGAAATTGCTTGGCGTACCACGTGTGGCATGCATGCCATAAGATGCCTGTGTTACAATAAAAAAAAATTGAGTTGGTCAACACTTTGTGAACAGCAATAGTTTATTTGTACTTTACTTCAGCAAAAACCCAACTTCCTTCAGCCTTCTTGAAATTTTTTGCTGATGGCCAGATCACATTAAAACACTAGTTCTAATATGATCACTGAAGTCAAGCAATATTAAGCTTGGTCACTACCTAGATGGGTGACCACTTGGGAATACCAGGTGCTGTAAATGGGGTAATAGATTAATGGCTTGGAATTGGAAATAGAAAGTTCCAATTCCAGGTAGGTTTGTTATATTCACTTATGCACAAATACCCTTGGGAAAGGCAAGAATTCACCTCTTCTCTCCTCCAGCTACTAAGTGCAGTGAACATATTCTCTGAAGGGATGAGTCACATTTTCAGCTGTTTTTCAATACTCCAGAACACTGTTTTTAAATGTGAGGCAAAATGCTCAATTCAGAATGGCTGAAACATGGAGGAGGTGGAATTATGGTAAGGAGGGTGAGCTGGATGAGTAAAAGTAATTCTGTTATTATTACAGAGTACTCACAATCTAAAAATTTTTTCTGGCTTTAAATAATGTGTAAAATGATGATAAGGCATAAAAAAAAACAAATCAATCTTGAAATTTTTCTTCCTGAAAGAACATTTTTGCATTTTTGAATTCTTGTGTCAATTTTGTTAGAATGTTTTTATTGTAATTCAGGATAATGATTTACGTCTTTCTCTCATCTTGTCACTTTAGGTCTTTTGGGACCTTCTCTTCGTGCCACAGAATCTGTCACTTGAAATGTGTGACAATTTCTCTGAATGTGAATATCCTCAGACTTAGTTGATGAAGACAAGTTCAAAACTCTTACACTATTGCTTGATTTTCAGTTTTGGGAAAATAAGTTCCTTTTTTTTAATAAATAATTAAAATACATCCTTTTTTTTTTCTTTGAGTTTGTTATTTGGAAAGTCTAAATTGGTGTTTTGATGCACATTTAATAGACTTATTTAAAATTTTTACACAATAATACAGACCATGTCTGGGGTTGGCATTCAGAAACTTTCAAGGAACACTGTATTTTCTTTCCCCTCCTCCTGCAAACCTGACCCCACAGACAAACTGTTGCTAGCTTCTCACTACACTATCAGAGATATTTGAACAAGTTATATTCCTTAGTTCCACCAGCTTAGACCTTTACAACTAGGACCTACCATGCCATATTCAAAATTACAAATGATCCACATTTCCTTTGCATTCCTTTGATAAAAAGCAAGTTCCACTGAAACAGTTCCTTCCCTAGAACTGTTACTTTGTGGAAGCTCTGAGAGGATGTTTCCTTGACAACTACAATCTTGGTCTCTTATCGTCAACTGATATCTATCCTATACATCTCATAATATGCATTTCTTTCTTACTCATTCCCACTCCATTACAACAGTCTCATTCAGTAATTCTCTACCTTGAGTGGCTCTTGAACCTTTTATTGGGTGACATAACAGTAAAAAAAAAACATTTTTTTATCTATTAACTGCTACTGCTGTATTTTTTTTTTTAATATTAAGCCTTTTGTCTTTATAAAAATTTGCTTGCCTTTGTTAAATATCAATAATTTTATGGAACTATGTGTTTTATTAGGTGCTAATTATTTGAATTATTATTATTATTATCTTCAGTTTAAGTTTCTGAATCTCTAGATAAGACTTCCTGTTTGACAAAGACCAGTAATACAGCTTTTGGAACTAAAAGTTTCAAGAAATTTATATTTTTTAATACATTTTTAAATAAAAATGGCAGTCTTAATCTTGAGGCAAATACAACAAAATACAAATTTGATATTTTATCAGCATAGCAAAATCAATGTCATTCTATCACAAGAAAATGTATCATTTGTTTTCAACGTAACAGAATCTTTCCAAGTCTAAAGTCAGTTGTATTTATTCTCATAATTTTCACTTCCTACATTCATATCATGCACCTCATTTAGCAACCCTCTACTTTGAGTGGCACTTAGGCCTTGTATTGCATGAACCTTCATAAAAATAGAAAAATAGACAAAGTGCATGTCAACTACTCTGGGCAAATTTGGCTAATTTACATCAAATTACTTTGATAGCACCCCCAAAAATATTATTGTTTTCGGAATGTAGTTTTAATATAAAACTAACTTTTAAGTATAGGCAAATACAAATCTGATGAAAATAAGAGCAGTTAGATATGGCTGATGAAGAAGTTTCAAGATGATGATGTTAATAAATTTCTTATTTTAAATTTTCTACAAAGATTCAATAATTTCATATAATGCTTATACACGGTACATGTATTATAGATTATTGTCACATATTCTGCTTATACGGAATGAAAGAGGGAATAATTGCACAAAATATGATGATAAGTAATTGGCTCATTTTTTTTGTTCAGTAATTTACAAAATAAAAAATGAAGATGTTGCCAAGAAAATCATAAACAAAGCTAAAATTGCATAGGAAAAAAAGCTTATGTTTTGTTTTGGAATATACAAGATATTGTTTAGAAGAAACTGCTTAAACCAAAAAGATAATCATTACCAAAGCATAGTGCACACAGATTCAAATTATGACAGATACAACCACTGAAAAATGCTTATATTTGCACATGCCAATTTCAGGTCATACATTTCAAGGGTAACCTGAAAAAACTGCTGTTGGGTTCAAAAGTTCTACTAAACCAATCTTACTCAATTACTTTAGTTTGGTTTGTTTTACATCATATCAATCTTAATGGGTTATAAAATGCCAACAATATTTTTATTGCTGGTAATATTTTTTTTTATTTTCAAAAATATATTACTACTAATTGTTTTTTGTTCAAAAATTTATTGTTGGTAATAATCTTTTAAAAAATGTATTGCTGGTATTAAAACCTATTTTTACTCTTTTATAGTGTTTTGACCCTAGTTTGGGGGTGGGTAACTATTTGCCCATAGTTGGGAATCTAACAGGTGCTACCACCCCAAGTCAGGGTGGACCTAGGAACACCAGCAATTAAGAGGTGGTTCCACGCTCCTCAAAACCTCCTGATCAGAGGCCTTGCTGCCGGATGTAGTTCATCGTCTTACCCAGCATGTTTATTGTCATATCCAGGATGGTCAAAATTACTTTAGTTCCTCCTTTTGTTGAAACATATAATGTTGTGATAAGTGATCATACATTCTTTGGATATCTAAGCATTAATTACCACAAATATAACTTTGAGTGTTGTTGTCTATATAATACATGAATATTGAATAATTTATATTTGGGTAGCAAATTTTCTTTCATGTATTGGTGAATGTGACAGAAAATGAAAGACATTTATGTTTCTTAAGCAATTCCTCTTTGTTTCAAAACCCCATATTAGATGGAAATCTGTGAATAATTAGTTTAATGTTGAATTTTTGAGAAAGGGTGGTTCCTAGTAGTTTCAGCTATTCTATCAGTCATCATCAGGAAAGGGGTTTAAAAAAATGTAAATTATAAAAGCCACCTTTTTTCCTAATTCATGATTTTTCATGATTTTCCATCAAATATGAATATCTTTTGGTTCAAACCCTACTCACAAAAAATATTGATTAACAAACATAACTGATTTTCAATGTTTGATTCAATTCAATATATATATATATATATATATATATATATAATTATTGATTTAAAAATATGATTCCAACTCGCGACATAAGAGGTCTCATGTTTCAAAACAAGAGCCAAAAACTTCAATATAATTATTTGAATTAAATTGAGTTAAAAGTAAGCTCTGTTCCATCTTCAAGTTTTTTGGAATAACGTATTTTGAAATTTACATGTTTTAATAATTGAAATCAAAATTTCCATGGTAACAGCTAGGGCAAATTGTTTAAATTGGGTAGGCATGTGTTAGGTGTTAGAATAAGTATCAGTATAGAGTAACTTTCATAGATGTCAAGTCAGGGAAAGGTGGGGGTGTCTAAATTTGAAATGGAAGAAGTATTAACTCTAGTCTGGTTTGCGTGTCTATGGAGATTTATTTATTTTTTTTTTTATTTTTTTTTTTTTTTTTTTTTGAAAGGGATTTGTGCATATAAAAAAACTGCTGTAATGTTTGTTTTTTGACGAATTCATAAAGGGTTATCTTTTTTGTAGGGTATTTAAACTATTTATTTGGGCTATGGATTATGAAAGTTATTATATTGTATGCTTGTTTTTAGCTAATTATTCAAACCATGAATCTGATGATGTCGACAAAAAAACGTTAATTCATTTCTATTGTTTAATAGATTATTATTATTTAGAAGCTTAATAATGTGCAATTTCTCATGGAGGCACAAAGGATATGGGTCATCCCAAGTTTTTCATGTTCTAGCCCTGTTTATAATTTTCCATTTTACATTAGGTGTCCTATTTGTTTCCTTCAGATGCCAAGTCTGATTTCTTTTATTTATATTATTGAAAGAGCACTTATGCTGCCTCCATCTATCTTTAAAATTATTCTTCGTGGACCCACTGTATATCATATTAGTGCTAGGACTCTCAGTGGATGATATAGTACATTGGTATACCACAGATTTAATGCTGCATTTATTTTCTAATGGGCAGTCTTCTAGGTTTCTACAATTACATAATTTTTCCCTTTTATTGTCTGATTTAAGTGCAGGGTTTTTATTAATACTATTCAGGCATGGGGGTTTGTTCAAGATCTTATTATTGTGTTTTTTTATTATACATTCAAGATTTTCAGAGCAGATGTAACTCAATTTTAGGGTGTTCTTATTGAATATATTACTAAGCTTACTATTGGTGGGGAAGTGTTTATCAATTAGAGCTAAGAATTTCTGTCCTAGTTTAATACTAACCATTTGGTTGAACGGAGGGGTATACCAAATGATTTTTCTTTTCCTGTTTTTTTTCCTATTGCCAGTGCAATTGTCTCTATAGTTAATGTTAGCATTTTTATAACCACTATTTTTTAGGGCAGTGTTATAGAAGCCATTGTGTTGTTGGAATATTTCCTTGTTAGCGGAGTTAATGCTAATTCTATTTTCTATTGATGAGAGTATATGTTTAATTATGGATGGAGGGTGGTTTGACTTCGGGTGTATATATAAAGGGTTAGCATTTGGTTTTCTATAAGGTTGGTATGTGTTGCCTGGTAAGTCTAGAGTTATGTCGAGGAAGTTTACCCTTTTCAAATTAGAAGAGACAATTATCTTTAAGTTTAGTTTTTTAAATTCACTAAATATA